TTATATCCCACTGTCTCGACTGCGACGTTCAGGAGACGTTTGGGCGGAGTTGTGTTCGGAGTTGTTTAGGTATGATCATCAACGCATCATGCTCGATGTCCCAGGCACCAAACAAACGGTCGGATTTGATGGTTAAATACTGTCGTTGATCGCTTCGGAAGGGCGCAACTAGAACGAATTTAGGTCCTCGGTGCGTGAGTTGACATGGTTCGATTCGGCGTTGCCGACGTTATCGCAGCGCTTAGGATTGCGGAACCGACTGAGATCGCGCGAGGGGACTGGTACAAGGTTCAAGATGATCGATTCAATCGAATAAAATAGAGAGAAAGTCTTCTGGGCTCAGTACATGGTTAGTCAACTGCCAAGGCGTTTCCTAAAGTATTTGGATGATGCGATTGGGTCGAAAGATTGGAAGATTGGAAGGTCGAAAGCCCGAAAGGTCGAGCGAATGAAAATCCGAGCAAATGGAAGCGAGCGCAGAACACCGCAACCCCTTACTTCCGGCGTATCTCGGAAACGAATGGAACTCACCAAAGAATTCTCGAAGGGATAAATTGATATCAAATTGCCCTGTATATTGCTTTGATGCCTTGATAGGGATCGTCACGTGGGTCCGGTAACTTCCTCTCCCCGGTCTTTAGGGTTATAGTATGAAGTAGTAGTTCTTAGTATCTAGGACACAGTAGACAATAAGAAAGGAGAACAATATATCGTATTTTTTTATCAACACTTCATGGGATACCCCGGAGACCCCATCCGAGGCCCTGCAATCTCCCAGCTCACTGTGGCCCGTTCACCTGTCACCTGCTACGCGCCAATAACAGCTTTGTGGCGTCTGCCCAAGTTGGTTTCTGATCTGCGATTTAAGAACATTGAAAAGACATCCATAGTTTGGTGTATGTTTATAGCCGGTTCGAGATGCTGGAGAGTTGTCCTCTAATACTTCTGCTACAAGGCATAGAGCCCAAAGTCTGTCACTTGAGAAACAGACCTAAAAGGGCGTAAATTATATTATGTCTCACTAGAAAACCCCACAGAACATATGGAAGAATTAGTTTTGAAAGGTCATAAGCATCTATTGAGCACATCAGGTGTCGTCAGCAGAGGTTATTCATGAAAAAGTCGTTTTTATCACCTATTTCCTATATTTTATGGCAAATTCTTCTTATCCTTCTAACAGTAGCTCTCATAAAGAAAAGAAACATCTATAAAAAGATATATCCAAGCAATTATCCGAGAAGATCTCTGAAAAGACTACTGAAAGAAGTTATTGCTTGTTGTAAACAAAAAATCAAGTCTAAGTCTCTAGACTTTATATCTCCAGATCTAGAGAACAGTACCCTTGTTCTACTCCTTGTCCGCCATATAATATCTCCACATGTGGATGCACGGAACGGCAAGCACGAGAATCGCTATCGCAGCAATGCAGCCGTACTTTTAACTGTAGCCGTAGACGAATTCGATCCCATCACGCTCCTCAGTGACGGGCAGATACTTCATTAGAGCAACATAGCCACCAGCATAGATGGTAGCCTACTAATTCTGACCTGAGAAACATTCTCGAATTTGGAATAGATATAGTAGCGGAAGAGAACGTAGGAACCGATAGAGAATGCAAAGCCAGCAGAAAGAAGCAGACCCAGATCCCATAGATTTTAGGGTTTGGTTCATCGGCGAAGTCCAGCTTGTCTCCAAGGTGTGACCAGGCAGCTCGAGAAAGGCCGGTTTGCTGCCAGTCGCAACAGGGCGGTTGTTGCTTGTGGGGTTCTAGCTTTTATTACCTTGCCAAAGTTGTCCATCTTATATCTAGCAGATGCATGTACAGAGTATGATATCTTAATTGCAAGATTGAAAGCAGTAGGTAGATATAACTGTGATATCCAAGAGTATCATAAAGCAGACGGGGAACACCCTCGTTAAATGCCGTCCTCTCACCTAATAGACCCATTCATACCCCTAATGAAAATGCACCTATTTTGGACGCCAAGGGCTTATTTTACGCAAAGTTGAGAGTCAGACAATCAGGTAATTTTTGGAGCTCCACCCGAAATCAGTGCTATGGATTAGGATTGATAAATGGTTACATAATTCCTGGATATTCGAAGGTTATGTACTATGTACCTACTACATACGGAGTACATATATACAAGGTTGGATATTCCATCTTATCAGATGAAGATGATCATCCAAAAACCAACCTTGAAAATCCCACGTATGGACCGTTCTCGGGCCATTCCAAGGTTTGTTCTGAAGTTTAGCGGCAGATGTGGCCAGCGAGAGATTAATCTATTTGTTCTTGGGAGGGAATAACCTTTTCTCGAAGCTTTTAGCTGTCGGGCCGAACTCGGCAAATCCGGATATATATCGGTATCCTCATCTACTTGATAGCTTAATAGATATACGCCAGACCTTGTTACATGATAATGGCAGACCATTAGACTATTTATAGACTTTTCCATTAGATTTCACGAAAGTGAAGATGTTCGTGCTGCTCACCAACGAGCGTTATTAACCTGCCGGTATGTGGCCATCTCCTTTCGAAACAAACGCCGGGAAAACAGAAAACAGAAAACAAAACACCAAGGCCAAGATAAACCAGAGTTCAGATATTGTCAGCATGTTGCTTTCATGTGCATCGTGACATTACGACAAGAGTCATTATATTTTCTCGTGTTTCGTTTATTTGCTGTTGCGTTCCGCAGCAGCCTCTGCGGTCAGCTTCAAGGCTGCAGGAGCGTCATCGCGAGGCATGTGCAGCTCGACCAGCTAGATAGTGTGTTAGCAGATAGTCTGAGAAGGCATTGAAGTGTTCACTCACTCGTAGCTTGTCGGACACATTGAATTCCTCGTCAGCGAACAGCTTGGTAAGTTCGTCACGGGTCTTGATACGGTAGCCTTGGTAGTTGTCCTTGGCTCCGAAGACCGTGGGAATGTTGGCAAACTGCCACGGCTGGATGTCGTTGTATTTTGCGTCCCATCCGTGAATGTATCGCTCGATAGTGTAGCCTTCGTTGCAGATGACGAAGCTAGAGACGGTCAGTAGATGATATGAGACTACTGGGTTGATGGGGATGCTTACATGATAGGGTTCAACTTGTTCTTCAGGATAGTGCTCAGTTCCTGCACAGTAAGCTGAGTACTTCCGTCGCCGATGAAGAGGATGGTTCGGCGGTCTTTCTGCTCCTTAGCAGCGAGGGCAGCGCCCTGACAGGCTCCCATGGAATAACCAATGCTGCCCCAAAGAACTTGGCTAATGGCAGTCACGTTCGCGGGGAAGCGAGTTTCCCAGATACCAAAGTTGGCAGTGCCAGTCTCGGTAAGGACGATATCCTTTTCCCTGAGCCACTGTCCGACAATCGACCAGAGCCAGTTGTGGGTGATACTTGGATCGGTAGAATTTCGCTCGCTTTCGGGCAGTCGGTTCGTGATGGGAGGGATAGGAGCAGCGTTCAGAGGATTCATCCGCTGAATGACCTTCCTCAGAACACCCTTCATGTTGATATCAGGATACTCCGAGTACCGCACTCTGACAAAAGTGCTGTGGAAGTCAATGGTGTTCAGCTGTCCAATGCGATAAGTGAAGCCGGTAGTATTGAAATCGGACTTGATCGCTCCAACACTCAGAATGAGGTCGGAGGACTCGACGGCTTCACTGACTCCAGCGTTAGAACCATTGCCGGCATAAACACCGCCGAAGTTCTTGTGGTTCTCGTTCACGGCTCCCTTGCCCATTGGAGTCACAAAGGTTGGCAATCCAGACTTCTCGACCAAGTCACGCACTTCATCTAGTGCACGGTGACGAATGGCACAAGCGTCAACCAAGATGACAGGGTTCTTTGCGGCATGGAGGTACTTCAGGACAACATCAACCACGTAGTCTTCCTTCTCCGGGTCATTCTTTGGCAGTGACAGATCAATTGGGGTCTTGAGGCGATCACCGTTGACCTTGGCAGCGACAATATCAGTTGGCAGAGTAATGTACACTGGACGACTGCGGATCCAGCATTCACGAATGGCACTGTCGATCAGGGTGGCTGCGTCATGGGGGTTGTTCAGGTTTGCGACGTAACACGAGATGCCCGCACTCATTTTGGTGAAGACATTGAAGTCACCATTTCCGAGAGTGTGGTGCAACAACATTCCATCCTTTTGAGACTGGGTGGTGGGCTGGCCAACGATATGGATGACGGGGACGAACTCGGAGTATGAACCTGCGATGGCATTGAGGGCGGACAGTTCTCCAACACCGAAAGTGGTGACAAGGGCACCGATACCGTTCACACGAGCATAGCCATCGGCGGCATAGCCTAAGAAGAATTAGTGTTAGATCTAGATTATTTGTTCGTGGTACAGTTTGCCTTACCGGCATTGAGTTCGTTGCAGTTTCCAACCCAGTTGAGACCACACTTGGGAAGGTAATCCAATGCTGCAAGATTGTAGTCACCGGGTAGACCATGCAAAGAGCGGATTCCAACTTCGTGAAGACGTCGGAATAAGTACTCGGCAACATCCATAGGATTATTTAGCTCCCTGGTGGCAATATCAGTAGAAGCCATGATGAATTGATGTGTTTGAGGAGAGTGGATGATGAAAACAGAAAAGAAAGATGAGGGGTGAGATAGAGGAGTAAGAGGATGATATAGAGACACATGGAACTTTTGTTGTTACAGGATTTCTTGAAGGTCCAATCAATGGTGTACAACTGAGACTACGTCATTGACTTGATGTCATGCCATTTCTATTTTTACAGTGTTGGATGTTGTGTTTCAGTAGCCATCTAGAACAAGATAAGGGTCTTATTATAGTATCTACAACATAATATAATATATATGGATAGATTAGTAGTGTAATAAGCCGATGTTATATGGTAATAAGCATATGTTATATGAAGCCCAGGTCGATCACCGGTCCCGGCTAAACCCAAATCTCCCGGCCGATCACACAAAACTCCCCCCCCACCACCTCAGACCACCATTCCTGACATATCAGAAGCTTACTAAATGGGGAAAAGAACTATGCCTGATCCATCAAATCAGTGGAAGAAGAGAAAGGTAAGTTGATGAACAATTCTTGATAAACAATTCTTGATTACTAGAGTACTAACTGGGATTAGGGTGGAAAATATGGTGGGAAGACAAATCGTGTCGTCATTGAATCTGGCGATGTAGGTGTCTTTGTGACATGCGATATGGGCAAAGAAGGAAAATGTCTGTCAGAGGCGTTGGACATTTTTTCTCATGTAAGATGATTTTTCTTTCCCGCCCCCTCCAACGAAGATTATTGCTACTTTTTTTCTAACTTTTGTCTAGGCCATCGAGGGCACTGAAAATCAAGAGGAAGAGGACCAAGATACTGATGATGAAGATATCGAGGCTCAGATCCGAAGGGAATTGGAGGGCCTCCAGCCCGACAAAGACAAAAAACGTCAATTCAAACCCATCCAGATGGACATGCCGTGTGGTACGTCTGCGATTATTTTCCAAAACGCCATTCGCTTATGTGCTCGGCCCTCGGCACGTTCATTGGTACTAATCCCCGATAGTGACATTCATGCGCCTCGATCCCTCAATAGACCCAGTGGAGCTTGTGCACCGTCTGTGTACCGAAGCACATGCCCACCCGGAGACCAAGAAGAGCCGATGGATTAAGCGCATGCATCCAGTCACGTCAATCCGAAAGACTATGAGTGTGGACCTAGCGGCCTTTGCGAAAGAGATTCTCAAGCCTCATTTCCATTCGGGAGGGCCACCGAAGACGGTGAGTTTAAGGCCCCCCTCGCTCTTTGGGCCTCTGGGCCGTCGGAGATCCTACTGATCTAGGAAATAATCCGATCACGCATCTGGCTGTGAGGGGAAATGTACTGTGAGCATTGCTGATTTCTCACCTATTTAGTATGCCATTCGGCCTACTGTGCGAGGCAACTCGAAGCTCAACCGAGACATTATCATTAAAACCGTTGCCGATGCTGTCGGACCGGAGCATCCAGTGAATTTGACCAACTATGATCTAATGATCCTCGTCGATGTTGCCCAAGTGAGTACTAACAAGCGAACTTTCTCGTATTGGGTCTTTGACTGACTCGTCGCAGAATGTGATTGGAATGAGTGTAGTGCAAGGTGATTATGATAAGCTGAAGCGTTTCAACTTGGCTGAGATCTATGACCCTTCACCGAAAGAGGAACCAACAGCTACGACCAGTGAGTCTAAGGCTTAGTATCAATAATACAGTACTTTCTACATCAGGTCACGTCAATGGAATCTATTGTACACACTATCACTCGTCGTACACTTATATTCCTCGTCACCGCTGGTTTTAGTAGTTCTTTTCTTCTACTTTCACCTCTCTCTATTGCTGCTACCAATTCGAAGATATCTCATGAGATTAGAAAGGATTAGGAGTGAAGTAAAATATTTAGGGAACAAGGTCAGAAATACGAGTCAGACGCACTCTCCAGTCATAGCAGTCCATAAATAGGCTTCGCAACCATAATAAAGGCGGCATACTTGCAAATTTTCACTTATAACCAGTCCTTTCAGGTGAACATACTCGTCTGTATGTATCCATGGGCAACATTGAATAACTCAAGAGTCATTTTGTTTTTGTGTGTAGCGAGAGTGAATTTGGAACAGAAGCTATACGATATCTCGGATAGTGGGGTCTGTATCAAATGCATGATTTATGCAAATATCCCCTAAACGATCATGTTTAGCGAGAGATCCTCCACTTGATATTGTTAAGATCTGCATGCGTCCAGTATTGATTCATCTATCATTATTGTCCCCCTGGGCAAGTGAAAGCATTGAAGACTATAAACTTACGGGTAAGGAAGACCCCTGTTTATATTTTTTTATATATATTTTAGGGTTTCTTTAAGTATTGGTTCATCGGAAAAAGAAATATTCTAGAAACATTGCAGTGATATAATTGGCTTTAGCCAAGCCTGAGGCGGATACGTATTTGACATGACATCGACTGCAATCGGCGCTAAAGTATAGTTAACGTTGCATCTCGGTCTTTGCTACTCCGTACACCGCACGTATCACCCCCCCTGTTAATATGCTAGGTCCACGCGCGCCTTTCATGCAATCATAAGCGGGGGGATACTTTAGGTAATTAAGAACGATCTAAGTCCGAAAAAATAAAAAGAAGCTAGATTCGGATGTAAATGTCTTTGAAATGACTTGCATTCCATAAAATCTCCGGTTTGCAGGTCCAGTAATTAGAAGCGATAAGCGAAAATACTGTCCAGTTCCAAGCGAGATAATATAAGCTCGGGAAGGAACCGAGAGAAGAATCGAGGTTCTATAAATTTTGATCCGTGGACGGCAAGAATTCGGCAAGGAATCATTCTGATTGGCTAGGGGTCTAGTGCTCGGATGATCACCTTTCTTAGAGCGGGATCCTTACGCGAGACGGCTTCACTTTAATTTACTTGTCCCATATTTCTTACTAACTGACCAATCTGATAGGTCCTTGCACCCTCGCTTGTGAAATAGTTCTCAGATTCTTCCAATGGAACTCCGCAATCTCTATGAATCTCGGATAGTATGTAATGACTTCTCTTACGTATCTCGCCTGAGTAAACTTAGAAAAGTCATGGCTTTGTCATGGTTTTATTGCGGACGTACGGAGTAGCCTTGGATGGCGGTTTGGTGTGCCCCGTTGATACTCCATCTCTACGGAGTACTCCGTTTGGATTTCTACGCGAATTCCCTATTCTAGAAGCGGGACTTGCGCCACGTCTACGAGTATGCTTTTCAACTCAAACTATACCCTCGGCATATATCTGTTCTTTTAACTTGCAGGGTCTATGAATCGTGACAGCCTTATTCATACATGATCGTCCCCCACCGGCAGGATCTTTTTCCAGGTTGAGTCGTAAGAGTCTCGCTTATATAGCATCTTCTGCTCGCCAATATTCCCCACCAAATAGATCACGATGCAACAACTCGACTCGACAAAATGGTCTGACATGCCATCGCTTAAGGGAACAACCGACCAGCATGAATCTTTTCATCGACAGTCTCGTGCTGCCGAGACAGATGAAAACCATAGACTAGATCATGTCCTCTCGTTGCTGTATCCTTCCACAGTCCGTGTGCAACACTCGCATCCAATTTTCGGTCACATTCACTCGCTCCGGCTTCTGATGCTGTCAAATGGAGCTCATTTGTTGCTAAAGGGATCTCCATCGTCAAGGACCGCCCTCCTTCGACGTGAGCGGTCGTTCCTCGAAACCGAAGCCCAGTTTCTTGCTCTTCTAGGGCAGAGTGCAAACCCTTGTATCCCCCAGCTCTATCATTACGATCCTCATGGAAGTCTCTGGGGATCTGCCTACTTGATCCGGCAGTATATTAAAGGGAAGAGTCTGTCAGAGGTGGAAGACGAGCTCACTTCGGAGCAACGAGACGGTATTGATCGCCACTTGGGCTTCTTGGTGAGCACCATCGGTCAAAATGCAGCCCCGGGGTTTGGGTCTTTGCAGCAAGTGGCATTTGGCGCTGGAAGACCTTCCTGGCGAGATGCCTTCTGTGCCCTGTTTGAAAGTGTTCTTCGCGACGCCGAGGACATGTTCATCCACCTTCCCTACTCGGAGATCCGACACGAGCTGAGTCGTCTGGCACCTGCCCTTGAAGATGTATCGCTGCCACGTCTTGTGGTCGTGGACTTTGGTCGGCCCTCCCATGTTTTGGTTAACGAAGAGTCCGGACAGCTGTCTGGCATCGTTGACTTCAGCAGTGCCTTGTGGGGTGATGTGTTGATGGCAGAGATCTTCGCGAATGCATCCCCGGCGTTTTTGCAGGGAGCAGGGATGGCGGCGGCCAGGACAAGGGAGGAGAACATCCGTTTGGTCTTGTATGTGGAATACCGCCTACTGCCTCACTTTAGTGCAATGTTGCTGACTCTTTCTCCCCATAGGTATGCCTGCTACCGGCTGGTGTCCCAAATCACTGTGCAATATTACCGAAACCGAGATGAGACGAGCGAATTTGACGCACGGAGAAGATTGATAACCACTATTGCGGAGATGACAAGGCTTAAACTGGAATAACAGGGCAAGATGATTTGAATGCTTGATATGTCCAACGTGATACCTAGATGATCACCATTAGACTAGTTCTGTTGCATAGCGATTTTTCTTCCGGGGCCGTGCATGTGAGTTGGAGTTTTGTTCTTTTTTTTTTTTACATTCATATATAGCATTCTTGCAAGAGGTTTCAGTCAAAATAAAATTTGATATAAATTTTAGAAGTACAAGAAGGAATAGAGAGAGAAGTTCTGGAGAACCCCGTGGTCTTGGCAAGTCGGAACTGATAGGGCGATAGGGCGGAGCGGGGCATATCCGTTGTTTAGCTTCTGCATGGCGTCAATGGTGTTCTCTCTCCTTGACTTCTACTTTTCCATAACTTATTCTATCGCAGATGGCTCAGTTCCTGCGAGGAAAGCAAGCTGGTATCCAAAAGGACCTGTCCGAGGGCTTGTCCCCGGATTTGTTCCTCTTAGACGATGTAAGTTCTTGGCATCCCAGGCATCCTCTTTTTACTGACACCGTTCTCAGTTTGCACGATGTGGTATTAATTCGCAGATTAGCGCTATCGCATACGACCCCATACAATCCCTCATCGCGGTCGGCACCAGTGATACCCAGTTCGGAAGCGGGCAGATCTATGTCTTTGGACAACGACGGGTTTCGGTGGTCTTTGAGTTCCCGCGAAAGGCCTCCGCCCGGTTCCTTCGGTTTTGCGCCGACAAGTTGATTAGCATCGACTCCAGGAATGAAATCTCCATATACTCCTTGGCCACTGGACGCACGGTGGTTTCTTATGCGCCACCGGGCCAGGTGACTGCCTTGTTAACAGACCCATGCCTGGATTATGCGTTTATCGGTTTACAGAATGGTCAGTAAATTGACAGGAAGAAAAGAACTGAAAACTGACCTGTGAATAGGTGAAATCATTGCGTACGATCTCGATCGAGAGTCCTTGACGCCATTCAGAGTTCCGAACTTGTGGTTGGAACGAAACCCCCGCGCGCGGTTCTACCCCGTCGTATCTCTAGAGTTCTCCCCGCGAGATATTGGCAAGATCCTAGTGGGATATCCAGAGGGAGCTGTGACATTTACATTCAAGCAAAACATGGCTCAAAAGTACTTTGTCTACGAGATCCCTCCTGGGGCACCGGGTGGAGACTCCCTACCGTCGCACGACGTGCGCAGACCTAAATTGACCAAAGCGATCTGGCACCCCAACGGAATATTCATTCTGACGGTCCATGAAGACTCCAGTCTAGTGCTCTGGGATACAAAGGATGGCCGTAAACTTCATGCCCGGACTGTCCAGACACCCAATGTCGACCAACCAGGTGGTGCTGGCAGACCAGGCTCACCTGGAGAGGCCCCTGGACCCAAAGAGCCGATCACGAAGGTTATTTGGTGCACCAAAGATAATACGGATGAAACTGGTCTTTTGGTGGCTGGTGGTCGACCAGCAGGTGACCAGACCAAGGGTCTCGTTTTCCTAGACATGGGCCCAACCCCCAACTACCAGACGTCTTCCTGGCAAATCCTGTCTACTTACTTCGAGCGGCCACGGCGACAACTAAACCTCTCAGTCCCACCGGGAGCTAAGGTTGTCGACCTTTGCCTCATCCCCCGATCCTCGCCCTACTTCAATGGTGCCCATGATCCAATCGCACTTATCGCTATGCTATCCTCGGGTGAAATTATTACCCTGAGTTTCCCTAGCGGACACGCAATCACTCCCACTAACATGCTTCACCCGTTTCTCACTTTCGTCCATCCCTTTGTAAATAAAGCTGTGCTTACTCCCGTTGATCGGTCGGTGTGGCTTGGTCTGAGAGAGCGCCGGTTGCAGGGACCCAAATTTGCGATGGGCGGCGTAGAAGCGAAGAATCCACTCAAGCGCTTCGAGAACCGCAATGTTATTTCGACTGCACACGCAGATGGAACCGTCCGCATCTGGGACTGTGGACACGATGATGAAATTGAGAACAGCGACGCGGTTCAAGTTGATCTCGCCCGTGCTATAGGCCGAACCGGCAATATCGAAGTGACCGAAATGTCTCTCGCCAGCAGCTCAGGCGAGATGTCTATTGGACTCAAGTCCGGAGAGGTTGCTGTCTTCCGATGGGGCAATAACCCCTCATACGGGCGTGAAGATTCTCCTGGTGCCAATCAAGGGCCAGGCAAGCTGACTCCGATAACTATGCGAACGGACCCTGGTCTCAAGACTGGAATGCTACCGCTGACTCTCTTGGATATGCAACAAGGTCCGGTGACGGCGCTGAAGCATGGACAGGTTGGATTTGTAGCGGCCGGTTACCAAAGTGGTGCTGTGGTGATTATTGACCTGCGCGGGCCCGCCATCATACATACCGCACATCTGTCAGAACTCCTGAAGGTACAGAAGCGGGGTGGATTCCTCAAGAACCGTGGCTCTGATGAAGTCCATCCAGAATGGGCCACCCAGATTGAATTTGGTGTCATGACTTTGGACGGCGAAGGTACCTATGAATGCCTCCGGCTAGCCAATCAGACTAATGTACTAACCGCGTTCTAGACTACTCAAGCATTTGCTGCTTCGTCGGCACAAACAAGGGCAATGTGGCAACATTCAAGATCCTTCCTGGTGCCAATGGCACCTACGAAGCCGCCTTTGCTGGATCATCGGCCGTTGAAGACAATGTTGTTAGTGTCATCCCCATTGATGCAGACTCTGGTGGTCTTGCTTTGGCTACACCAAGTGCAGTCGGAGGCTTGAGGTCTGGTGCGAAAACCAATGGTGTTGTCATTGCCGTGACTGCCTCTGGCTGTCGAATCTTCAAGCCCCCAGCGTCAAAGGGTGCCCACAAGTCATGGGATGACTATCTCTGCGACTCGGCAGCTGTCGTCAAGACTGAAGGACGAGGTTACAGCTTGGTTGGTCTCTTCGGTGACGGCCACGCGCGAGCCTTCTCAATCCCTGGCCTTCGGGATATTGGTCGCACCAAAATTAACCATATTGCGGATATGCGACGCCTCTCGGAATCTTCCATCACCCCTACAGGAAACATTATGACATGGGTCGGCCCTTCAGAGATCGGAATGTTCAATGTCTGGGGAGGTGGAAACGGACTGTACGCGGCCCCCATCACTTCGCCAAAACACAGTGCCAATGCTGACCCTGCCCACAGACACAATTCAAATGACAAGCTTTACAACCCAGAAGCCGTGGTTCCCCCGCGTCCTACCATCACTAACGTCCAATGGATCTCCGGTACACAATATGTTTCACCGGCTGACATGGACATCCTGAGTACGTCACCTCCGTCTACACAACTCTAGCTAGAATCTAACATCAAATCTAGTCGGCGGCCCAGAACGACCACCATCAAAGAGAATGGTCGAACAAATGAAATTCGAAGACCAAGAACGTCGGAAAGCCCTAAAAGAAGGACGGACTCCACCGATTTCTGAACAGGGTAGCAGCCAGGAAGGCTACTGGTCTTACATGTCACGTCAAGTCCAAGAACGCACGGAGCGTCTCGGGATTGTTGGAGATAGCATGGACAGACTAGAGGAGAACAGCAGCGGCTTTGCTAACGATGTTAACAAATACGTACAGTCACAGAAAAAGAAAGCTGTCCTTGGCGGTAAGTCGATCTTTCTTCAGGTCTATGGACACATATGTAGTGTTCAACCCCCTTGCATATCTGTCGCTGACCGGTCATTGATAATAGTGCTTGGCTCGAAGTTTGGCTTTTAGGCGATATCTTTTACCGAGTACGAGGATTTCCAAATGGCTTAACCATAGGGGTTTTGGTTTATTTTTCCAGCGTCGGGCTAGTTAGGCCATGTCCGCGACGCAAGTGTGACAGATCACTTTGCAATTTCACCCACTTCTTGATGCCTTCAGGCTGGATCCACCGTGATTGTATAATTGTAGGGTCTCGAAAGCATGGTCTCTTTTGGCAACATTACCTTAGAGCAGAACCTGTTTGACATCCATCGATGCCCTTGTAGGCACCGAGGGGTCGGTTTTATGTGGCACAGAAACGGCCTCGCAGCTGTTCCTATTACATGTTTAGGCGAAAGGGATATCAAGGCCGAGTAAAGGCCAGTGGGATTTGAAATTATACCAATTCTATTTCATAGACCCATAGTCAATAGTATAAGAACATGGAAAATCAGTCCAAGGGTCGTAAACGTTGCGTTCTGGCTGTCGTTAAATAACATTCAAATAAGGAAGAGTTTAAAAGCAAAGAAACCACTCCTACGAGTCAGTAGCACACTATGATCTAGTGTACCATAACCTCAGGCTGGGGCTGGTGAGTTGGCTTGGCAGCATCGTCCTTGTGTTCTGTGTCATCGCCCATCTCGACATCGTCGTCACCATCACCACCCTCTTCCTCGTCAAGGTCATCCTCATCGTCGTCACTCTCTGCCTCAAGATCTTCACTCTCGGCATCGGAGATCTCTTCTTCGTCATCCTCCTTGCCGGCAGGAGCCTCGGTGCCCTCCATGTCATGGTCATCGCCCTCGGCGGGCTTGTTGGACTCCTCGAGCTCCTTGAGCAGCGCAGCCTCGAGCTCACGCTCTTCGGCACCATACGCTCCACTGTCATCGTCGAGACCATCGGCCTCGGGCTGGTCAGGCGGGTACTCTGCGGGGGCAGAGTCATCAGAGTCCCTATAGAGGGGGGAAAAGTCAATAAAGGCCCAGTAGGTATGTAAATAAATAAAACAAGAGATCTCACCATTTGATGGCAAAGCGTGTCACTCGAGGCTTCTCGGCAAGCACATTGCGGCGAATGCGTTCAATAACGGGCTTCGCAGGGGGCTCGGCTGCCAGCTCTTCGCTGTCATACTCATTGTTCACATAGTAGCCAACCCGGACGAACTCTCGACCGTCGTAACTGCAGGTGAGCAAGATGACAGTGACGCCGAGCATCTCGGAAGTGGGAATGCGCTTGACATCAGGCGCGTCGGCCTCGAAGATGAACTTGTTTACTCCGACCGGGATGGGCCCGACGAGGAGGGAGTCGAGTTCTTGGT